CTCTCCTTCCTGCCCCTTCCTGTGTTGCATTTAGTGTTGGTTTAGTGTCTTTCTCCATCAGTGTGATCCCCTTGAATGGTTACATTGCTGTTTCTCCAGTCACCTCACGAAGTGACCTTGTATAACTTGAAGTGGAAAATAAATCCCATTCATGCTGTCCTCTTAACTGGGGTTAATCCATCATTGTACCAACAAAATTCCTTAAGTCAACTCTCCCGTATATTAATAACTCCTACTTAGACCAGTGGTCTCAGACCAGGTTTTCCATTCTTAATCTTCCTACTACTGATGTGTTTCCACTGTTAGTGTTCTGTACCTATCCTCAACTACTGCCATCTAGTTTAATACTATAAACAGTATGCTCAACCCAGTGTTGTAGCTGTCATCTTAGCCACAACTACTGCCATCAAGTTTGTGTGTTCAGAGATGCAGTTCAGTGTTGTATCCTTCCTTCCCTGATGGACTTACTAATCCATCCATGAAATGCTATAGCTAAGCTGCCATTTTGAATCAAGAATTCATAATAGTCTGGTCAATCATTATCTTTTTTCCTTCATTCACTGTCGCATATATTTTTCAGGACGTTTTCTGGATTATTTCTGACACCTGGAAAAAGAAAATATAATTTGAGTTACGCTATTGTGCAGTTAGATTTAGACAACTCATCACAAAATTTTACAATAAATATATAAAATACAAAGTAACAGAAAACAATATGAGGTGCAATTCTGTGAATTTGTGAGCTGGTTTAAAGCTTTTCACAATATAAACTCTCATCATTTGCATAGGCGATGGGAAAATAAGTTTTTCCAGTCCAAACAAATCATGGAAAAACTTGATAAAACAATACAAATTTCTGTTGATCATTACTAATACAGCAGCTTAGTCAGTAACATTTTAATACCTGTTGTCTGAATTAAACACCACTGTCTATTCCATGTGTCGATTGGTATGTTTAGGTCAACAGAAATGAATATGTTTGTGTGTTTTTAATCTACAGTCAGTACATAGCCGAAACTGTGTTGTTTATTATTTTTTGTGTTAAACTAACGTATTTGAGTGGAAACGCTGTGTTTTCAGATGTTGGTAATCGTTATTGGTCTTCACATTTCATAATTTTCTATGTATTCTAGTGAATGAAGTAGTGCGTGTATCCTGCTGTTGTCATGGAGGAAAACAGTGAAAGTCATCTGTCATTAGTTTACAAGATTGTGCGGTTTAAAACAATCAACTTGATTTTAATACAGTGTGTGTTGAAAAGACATAACACATCATGTTTGATACGCTTGGATTTTTTTTCTACATGAAACTTGAAAGTATGCTGTCAGACAAGCATGGCACATTTTATTGTTGACATATGACTTTACAAGTCCTTGATGAATCTTGGCACATTTGCAGCTTCAAAGGAGAAATCATTGTCAATCATTTTATGTTTTTATCTCACAGAGCAGAGCATAATTGGACAAAGGCACAGCCAACAAATGTGCGAACAGGGGGTGCTCACTGGTCACCTGCGCAAAGTGTTACAACATGGCAAACCATGCAGCCGATGGTAAGATTATTGTGTGAG